GATGCTGTTCGGTTGAGTACGCACTTCAAGGTTTAATTAATGGAATTGTTTTCTTTTAACATAATGTATTCGTGTTATAGGGCATAATGATATGCAGCGCATTCCCAACTTTATCACGAAAAATTTCCCTCCCAAGTTCACTATCGCAAACAACTAATTCTAATTCTAATGACTTTGCTCTGCTGTTAACATTCCCCGGTCTCCCACACGTGCGCGGGGGCAGAACACCAAGGAGGGTGGAGGGAGTTGTTCGTGTTTGGGGCGCTCTGCCCCCTCCACCGAACAGGCAGGGGCGAGGCTTAAAACATTATCGGCCTTTGCCTGTTCATTCCTACTCACGCAAAGTCTGGGTCGTGTACGTGGGTGAATCAGTCGGCACGCTCCAAACATTTCAGCTGCTGCTCCAGAAGCTGATGGTGGTGCAGCTGTTCTTAACATTTTGTGTCACCCTCAAGTTCATTACCGTGGACTCGGGTGGTTCACGATAGAGTCCATTGGCGAGCTCTTCTGTCCGTGGTGTTGGACCTTAGAGTTACTTAAAGGGTGAGGAATTCTTGACTAGCTGAACGACCATCAGCTTGTGTGTATCAGAAGGGAGAGTTGTTACTGAAGCAACACGCAGTGACACACAGCGACAGAATAGCAAATTAGTGCCAATTTAAATTATGGTTTCGCCGAAGTGGCCGACTGCTGACCGTTGAGACAAGCAAAGGCGCTTGTTCTCTGCACGCCCTGTATTTTTAAATAAACATTACTTAAATAATGAAATTGCTTTGTCGTAATAAATTCACGAATGTCTGTCTACCTTCTTGGCACCGTGTTCTTGATGCCATGCAACGTTAATCGTGGAAACTGGACGAACTATTTTATTTATGCGGAAGAAATTGTTTCCACAACAGGACTGTGATTCCATTTATGTAATTCACTCCGTCATTAAGTACTGAACATTTTACCCCGTTTCGTTTGTATCAGGTGTTTTACGTCACTCGGAAACACCTCTTTCGTAATTACTGCGTGGCTCTGAAGGTCTTTATCAACATGCTGATAATATTTTGTGAATAATATTATGTAAAAAAAAAGATGAACAGTTAAAGCATGTGGCCCGCGGTCCGTTTGTTGCGAGGTATTTACTGGGGTACAAGAGTCCTCGACAGGTTCCTTGTACCTCATTCACCGTTCACAAATGACGCCAGCATTGGATGCTGTGGGTTGCTGGAGGTTAGGTTAGGTTAGGTTTAAATTTTACGTGGAATTTTGTGCAGAAAGTGAACTTCCTGGGGGCGTAATGTCTCCCTCCGTTTGTGGGTTCAGACGACTGCTGTTTTGCGGCAGAGGTGGCACACCTGTCTCCATTAACATCTTGTCATGTTTCGTATTCCTTCTCCTCGGGATGTCTGTATCTTATCTTTTTCAGCGTTGCCCCTCGGTTCGCCCAAACTTCGGTCTCTGTTCCTATTCTGAGGGTGGATTTTATAATTATTGTTGCAAATAATCTTCACGTCTTTGTTCCCAGTTTTGAGCGTGTTTTCGTATTTGAACTTCCCCAGAAACTGTTTGTCTTCTGAGCTTTCTTGCAATTAATTGCCTTCGCCTTCACCAAGTTTGAGTTTCGTTGGACGGTGTCACCCCCCCCGCCCAAACTTCTGAAACAA